TTTCAGGAAAACACTCTGAAACCAGCTTAACTTATTCCTCAAAAGAAAAGGAAAAAATTGAATTTGAAATAAAAAACTTAATAACTATATAATGTATATTCTCAAAGATTAAAACAACAACTAATTCATTGTTTGAAGGCAATGACTGAAACTCCAGTGTGGTGGGAATAGCCCTAAGCCAGGGACTGACCTGGGTCCTCTCCCAGCTTGTCACTTATTAGCTCTGTCCATTGTGTGCAGGTCACTGTGGCTGTTTTCTCATATATCAAATGGAAGAAATAACACCAACTTAGTTTATCTCAGAGATAATCATGGTAAAGCTCTTCGGGAAAATCTGAAGTGCTGTACAAGTGAGTACATTGAATTCTTCTCAGAATGTCTGTGCTGTTAGTATTTTTATTTACTTAAGGTCCCATGGCCAGGCAGGACATTTTCTAAGTATAATTATGTGAAAGCATAATGATTATTCTCTCCCAGAATATCTGCGTGGTTAGAACTTCTACTACTTTTCAATTACATACACAGTGTGTCTGATCGTTTTCCACCTGAAATTAAGCTGCTATTCAAATCTCATCAGTTTTATATAAGTGAGAGCACCAGTGGAGGAAAATCTGTTATGATAATGTCCCAACCCATTTGCTTAAATAGATGCAGAGAGAAAAGCAATCAAGTGAAGAGCAGCAAAAGAAAAGAGATGAGTTTCATTAACAGGGAAGAGCTAGAATGCAACCACTCCACCATAGCACTCCCCCCAATATTCCTCCTTTCAATTATAATTTTCCAGAGAAGACATTACACTTAAATAGCCCTGAAAGTCTTGGGCTTGGAGAGGTACAGGCTGACTTCATGTGTGGGGAACTCCACACGTTAAGTTCAATGTCTTCCTCACTAAATGGGAGACACTGACAAAGTATTGCAAACTTTGGAGATGCCATTGAAAACTTTCTGGTCAGTTTCCTTACTTTACAGTCACAACTCATATGGTACAATAATAATTTCAATGAAATCTTCTAACCTTTAGAAAAGGCTTGGCTGGAGCCAATTTCTCCTCCCACCACTGAGACTGAGGAAGAAAACCAGCCACCTCACTGTGCTGCCAACACTTGCCCTCACTGCCCACGTAGCTGGGTGTGCAGGGGCCTCAGGTCTTTCACACTAAGATGAAGAGAACACTTCATGGATCATTGTGAGATTTAACTAGCATGATGTAAATAAAACCATTTGTTTAAATGAGAAGAAACTATAAATGTTTATTAATAAAAGAATTTATTAAAGGAAATTTTAATTTATCAGACAATTCAGTAATAAAGTAGTTAAATATAATTACTAGGTTGACTAAATTGAGTTAATGAATTATCAGAGGTTTTGCGGGTTTATACCAGCAGTGATGATAAAGTGGTGATCCTGACTTTCCTGTACACTCCATATTAGAGGAACATTCACATAAGTGCTCGCGTGGGAGCTGTGCCTATTACACAGCAGGCAACCACTAGCGTCTAATAGTGTGTTCATCATCCCTACACTGTAGATAAAGCTATGCAGCCCTGATTCTTTTTCTTAGAACCCTATCAGACTACAAATCTATACCTTTTCAAAAGATGTGTCTATGGTGCTCCTCTATGGCTACTATTATTAATTTAAGATCTTTTAGTATTAGTGCTATTGAAAAGAATCGGTCTTATAATTTTTCCAATGAACTTATATAATAGAGCACTTTATAGGTCCTATCCAGTGGTTGGCAAACTGTGGCTCACGAGCCACAGTTTGCCGACCACTGTCCTATGCTAATGTCCTATGAAATACAACTAGTGCATTTCACAATCCTTCTTCAAGAACACAGCCTTTGAAATAGACCATTTCCTGGTGTCTAACCAGACTGTGCAGGAGTTTTGAGATATTGGGACTTGTAACTTTATGCTAATGTTTCTGGACTATGCAGAACAGTAGGGATGATAAATACGAGACACAATGGCCATTACTCTTCCTCCCAAACTAATAACAGACAGCTATCATTAGTCATGGCACTCTTTGTACTTAGCCTGGAATTTATCCTCAATGTCAATTTCAACAGAGTATTTATTCGACACAGTCTGTTAATCCCTTTCTATATTCACTGAACAAATATTACTGAATTCTTACTATATGCAGGCACTGTACCAGGGAGGCACATTGCAGATTAAAGGCATTTAAACAGGCATGGACCTTGCCCTCATGGGGCTGAGGTTACCAATTGATTTGACACCCAAAGTAATGATTTCAGGCCAGATCTGCTTTGTTGTATAGTTTAAATGGAAATAATTCTAAATAGCTAAGTTTCTCCCCTACTATCAAAGGGACTGAAGAAGATGGGTTCTGTACGACCTTACCTACTGGCTCCATAAACCCACGAGGTCTGTTGAACAGTATAGGAATTAAAGATGAAAAGAGTTGAACGTTATTTTTTGGAGAGATTGAAAGAGAGATGGTTGTTCTTTACTTATTTAAGTATTTGATTTGCAGGTCATATTATGATAAACCTATAGGAAGTCATTTATGAGAATTTTAGTATTAATGAATTTTACCCCACTCCCCTAGAAAGACAGGGATAAAGTGTTTTGTGTGTGTGTGTTTTTTTTCCTTTACAAGTGCCAGAAAACACATAACCTGCTGTGTGGAACTAGAGAAAGAGACAGATGTCTGCATATATACCCTTTCCCACCGCTGTCAAACCTGTGTCTGCTTTCTCCCTGAGCTGCAAAAGTACATCTCTGAAAGTCTCTCCTTAATTCTGCACCTTCTCCGCCCTACCTGGCTTCCCGCCTGTCGTTGCCCTTCCCACCTGTAGCAGAGGCTCACTTCCCTTGGCAAAGATCCCTGCCTACTTCCTCATATTTGTAAGTGGGATGATTGCATTCCTAGGTCTCAGGTTTGATTCCTGGTCAAGAACACATAATTCGGTTGCAGGTTCACATCAATGTTTCTCTCTCTCTAAATCTTTTTCTATTCTCCCCTCCCTTCCATTCTCGCTCTAAAGATCAATAGAAAAAATAACCTTGGGTGAGGATTTTTTAAAAAAAGATATTACTTCCAATATCACACAATTGTTCTACTGTCTCCTAAGACTAATCCTGAATCTGCTAATTACATATCATGCTCCAGTAAACCATTGTCTAATTGCCTTATTTCAAAAATTCAAAAAGATTCCCACCAAAATGTAATTCTATGTACTGCCTCCAATGCAAGGATCCAGTTCTTTCACTCATCCCATAATACATGATGTGTATGTAGGCTACTGAAATGCATGGTTGGTTGTTTTGCTATGCTTTTTAATTTGCTTTTGTGCCTAAGGTGCCTACTAATTTTGCTTTATATTCTCTAGGGCCTCATTTTTTTAAAAAAGTCCCTGCTAAGGAAGAACAAATTAACAGGCCCTCTTCCTTATTCTTCTTCAGGGATCCATTTATACCATCAATTTTTATTTCTTTAAGGATTTTGCACTTCTTCCCTCTGAATATTACTATTTTTATTCTCTAAGGAAAATTAGTACCATCCTATATAATAAAAGGCTAATATGCAAATAGACCAAACGGCGGAACAGCTGGAATCAAACAACCAAACAACCGGTCGCTATGACGTGCGCTGACCACCAGGGGGCGTGTGTGGAACATGGTGGAGTTTGGCCATGGTCGGATGGTGAAGCAGGTGAGTGGGGGCACCAGACCAAGGCAGGGCGCCAGTGGCTGTCATCAGGGCGAGCCTCTGGTGGTTACTGAAAATTCTTTGCTCCCATTCCCTGTGGTCCTGCCCGGCATTTGCACCTGCAGCCGGCGCTGGAGCCACCGCTTGCACCCGCTGCCGGTGCCCGACACTGGTCCCAATCACTCGGCGCCATCAGCAGGTGTGAGTGGCAGCTGCTGGCCCTGATTGCCCCTGAGGGCTTCTCCACCTCCCCCTGCTCCTGAGGGGCGATCGGGCAGTAGCTGCCGCTCGCACCCGCTGGGGGTGCCAGCCCCAAAAGCTCCACGCCGTCAGCATGTGGAAGTGGCAGTGGTGGGAGTGGGTCTGCTGGCAGACAGGGGACTGGGCCGTGGCGGGAGGGACCAAGCAGGGGCACGGAGGATGGGCCAAGACCCGCCCCTGTGCCTACCGCAGCCGTGTGGCCCACAGTTCCTTTCAAGGTGCACGAATTTTGCACTAGGCCCCTAGTAAAAATTATAACTGAAAAATGACTCATTTTTACCTTTTGCCCTTATTTGCCCTATATAATGGCACATGCCAACTCTTATATCATTATACTTGCTTAAGGAACATGAACTCATACAACTTCACCAACTGGAACCAATTTTGTAGCATTCAAGAGACAATTAGGAACATTACATTTATAAATTTAGTAGAAAGAACAACATTTTACAATTTTAACATGTAAGAGCATGCAGTTGTGTTAAGGGACAAAAAAATTTGTATTCTATTTTGGGCTTCTCAGTAATTAAGAGATAGAACTAAAATTTTGTCATTTATTCATCCAACTATGAGTCAGTCAGGATACTGTTTTGTGAACAAAATAGGAATCTCTCCCTTCAGGGAGCATACAATTGATCGACCAATCCATGAAAATTCTAATTGAAATAAACACTCAGGAAATGCATTAAAAATGCATTCTAGCTCAGCTGGTGTTGCTCAGTGGTTGAGCATTAACCCATGAACCAGGAGGTCACCGGTTCGATTCCCGATCAGGGCACATGCCAGGGTTGCAGCCTCAATCCCCAATATGGGGCGTGCAAGAGGCAGCAATCAATGATTCTCTCTCATCCTTGATGTTTCTATCTCTCTCTCCCTCTCCCTTCCTCTCTGAAATCAACAAAAAAAATATTTTTTAAAAAAATGCATTCTAAAAATGTCTACCTCTTCCCCGGGCCTTTTCTTTCCCACGCCCTAGGAAAGCTCCCTTTCCAATGGGACAGGGTAGGTTTATGACTTCAGAGAAGTTATAAAAAACAAAATGTAGAAAATGGAAGTCTTACCATTAATAAATATATAGATTGTAGATTCTGTTAGCTTGTTCTTTGAAGCAGGAGATAGATACTTGCAGCTGTAGAAGCCGGTGTCGTTTGCCTCGGCTGTGGTCAAGGTCAAAGTGCTGCAGAACTGCTTGCCGCCCTTTCCACAGGCATATTTAGTTATGTTCAGCCTTTTACTTTCCTTACTCACTGTTTCAGGCAAAGACCACGAGTGGTCTGCTTTCCCCCTGCAATCACAGATAAGAAAATAAAACACAATTAGGGCTGGGGCCAGCTCCGGGGCACCCATCTCATTAGGCAGCACTATTCTGAGGTCCTTTCTTACGTGTAGTCATCTCTCCCTTTACAGAAAAGCGAGGCACAAGGAAAAGCTTTGCAACAACTCAGATGAAAGACGCAAAAATGTTTCGGGCATCCCTTCCCCTGTTTGCCTTTGAGTGAGTGAGTCTCTTCAGGAGGTGAATTACCTCCATGTGAAGCAGGACACATGTGGTTTGCACTTTGCAAATCACAAGAGACCACTGAAGTCTCTACTTTTCTACTCTGAGAGGGGACCCTTCTACTTCGCCTTAGGAAGGGCAGCCAGAGTATCCCCAAACTGGCAGTCACTTACCTGCATTTGATAGATAGCTTCTTGCCTGCTTGTATGACATGCTGGGTGCCATTTAAATTCAGTTCAGGACTTCTTAATTTTGAGTCTGAACTAGATCCTGGAAAATAAATTTTTGAAATGTATTATTTGTAAATTGCCCTCTCATCTTTTTTTTTAAGTCATATCTTTCCATAAAGGTGACTTTTCATCTTTAACTTAATTTTCATATGCAGAAAGGTGCACCTAATACAAAGTTCTCTTAATTCACTACTTTCTTCTAGTCCAAGTCAGACTTGTGAATATTATATATCCTTTTATACAAAATAATTTAAATAATATCCAAAAGCCCATTAATTTAGAACATGAATAGGTTTGTACATGGTTCAAAATGCAATTACATTAAGACCACAAGAGTGTGAACAAAAAGGGGGCCACATACTAAACCTGAGAGGAGGCCTGTGTGGCAGCCTTACATACTTAGACACCTAAAGTAATCACAGAGGATGGTCTGCACATCAAAGTTCCTAACCAAAAATGGGTCGTGGTGGGTCAAGTCCTAGGCCTGTAGCCTCCTTGACAAAGGTCAATCTTAACCTTCAGTGAACCTGTCCATTGTTGTTGTTGTTGCATCTAAGGTAACATTCCTTTGAAACATCAGAGTAGCCTCCTTTTCTAGACCCCTCAGGGCACAACCGCTGGCACCAGAGCAGAAGACCACGGAACCCCTCATTATCTTGTTCCCCAAATACCATCTCTATATGCAGTTAATGTTAGAACTATCCCGAACATACCAATGTAACAGGAGTATGTATCTCCATTTGCCTTTTTATCCAACCCCAGAGATTTCCCTGCTTCGCTTTCTCCCACCCCTTAATCTTCCACTAGTGGATTTCCTGTAGCCCCTTATGTCTCCTCCTTTGATTGTAATGTATAAAATAAGCTGCAAAACTGCCATTCTCTGGAGCATTTTTCAATCGGTTGAGATTTTGCTTCCTGGCAGTTGTCAGTTTTGCTCAAATAAACTTGTAAAAATTCTTTATAGGTTTGGATGTTTCTTATGTCGACAGTAGTAACTTATTAAAAACTCTCAGGATGAAATGTTATCCAAAACATAGTTCTAATACCAGTGTGGGTCAACTGTATATATGGCCTATCTTCTTTTCTGAATACAAAGCATACAAATTTTCCTGGGTTCTAAACAGAGCTCAGCCATTAGTTAAGCCATAATATTTTGGGCAAGTCATTTTCTTTCTGAACTATTTTCCTCATTTGGAAAACTAATTCTGAAACCAAGATCAGTTTTAGATGCCATTTGGTTTGTCTTATGTAATCTCTAAGTTCTCTCTATCATTGAACAGAAAAATAAGGAACTGTTCACTCCTACGTGACATTTGACAAGCACATCTCATGAGGATTGTAGAAAGACAATAAAATAAACTGCAAACATGCCTTATAATCTCTACATCTCTACACCACCCAGTGATAATATCCATCCTATTGACTGGCTGCGTGAGCCTGGACAAGTCACTCCTCTCCCCACACGCAGTTCTCTTGTCTGGAAAATGAGAGCCTGGACTGGATAACCTTGGCTCTGACTTTCCATTACCAACAGTCCCTGTCTCAGGGCTACTTGAGCCACATGTACAGTGGGGCCTTGACTTACGAGTTTAATTCGTTCCGTGACGGAGCTCGTAACTCAAATTACTCGTATGTCAAATCAATTTTCACCATTACAATGACACGTGATGCTGGGCTGATGTTGTGGCGTTCACTGTGACGTTCGCTGCCAACTAGTGGTGGGGTATCTGAAGCTGGCTCGTAACCCGAATTTTAGCTCTCAACTCAAAGCAAAAAATCGGCCGAGAGAAGGCTCATATCTTGAAAAACTCATTAGTCGGGACACTCGTAAGTCAAGGCCCCACTGTACTACAGAGGTTGATTCTCTCCTGAAGCTCTCATTGACTGGTCAGATGGAGCTCAGTAAGTTAACTGCTTTTTTCAGATCAATGAATATATCCTCAGGTGAAGATTAAAAAAAAAAAAGGAAAGTTCAAAAGAAATATGAAGAAGGGGAAAACAATGCCACAATCAGCAGTCTTCTAGAGGAGCAGTTACAGAGGGGCAAGGTTCTTGCATGCATCGCTCCAAGACCAGGCCAATGTGGCTGAGCAGATGGCTATGTGCTGGAGCGCAAGGAGCTGGAGTTTTATCTGAGGACAATCAGGGCTCAGAAAGGCAAATAAATTGTCCTTCCTCTGATCTTAGCTTATATAATAAAGGTATTTGTTGCTCTAAAAAAAGAAAAAGAAAGATCTCTCCACCTCCTTCTCTTCTGCTCCCCACTGCCCCTCCTCACGTTCCTTCTCTTCCTGCTGAGGCAGCGCAAGGTCTAGTAAAAGCCCTGGATTAGCAGGGATAAGGATTGAGGGAGGGAGGAAAGATACTCTGGGAGGGAGGAAAGATATTCTGGGAGGGAGGAAAGTTGGGTAGAGCCAATCTTAGGGAATATTTTTTACTTTAAAAAGTAGATTTATACAATGGATTTCAAGGTGGAAGATTGAGCTGGACTGTCCCCCAGGTTTTAATGTTAGATCCCAGGTCAGAGATGAGATCTACATGTCAAATTCCACAGTTAAGTCTAGCAGTGCTCTCTAGTGTTTCTCTTGGGTCCTAATATCTAAAAAAATTAAAACTAGACTCAGTTAAAGGTCTGCAGAGCTGCATTTGAAATTTAATTTCTCCATTTACTCACCATATGGCTTTTGTCATTACTGAATTGGTTGCTCCTGTATTCTCCAGTGTAAAACTGGGGAACCCACGACCTTTCTCACAGGTGTTGTGTGTGGGCATGTATTTGCAAAGATATTAAAGGAACATTTTATGCTTTTCTGGTGTTGCTGATGATATAAATTAATATTTTTAAAGTAACTTTTACATATAATAGGTCCTGGTATGAAATTACTACTAGAAAAAAATGGTTCAATATTAACTAAATTAAATTAAAGTCACTGACTTATATGGATATAATTGGTCTACCACATACCCCCACAGAGCAAGTCAACCCATTCAGGCACCTCAGGAAAGCCTTCTGTACTTCACTCATATTTATGGGGTTCCTGAGGCGATATCTAGCTCACAATTAGTGATGCATGAGCATGCTAGGCTTTTCTAAAGCCACAGCCAGTGTTTGCAAATACCTATCCTGAGAAATGTCTAGGCCAGAATAATTTCTGCCCTTCTTTATGGCATGCAACGCTGGGGATTTGGTTGAGCAATTGTTCGTGTGCTGGAAAAGACCCAGCACCACTTCCTGTGGAAAATTCTGGCATTGCTTGCAGGTAAGCTGTGTGGCTTGTGTGGAGCTGAGGAGTTTTCTCATCGACGAGAGGCCACGGGGAAAAGGCTCCCTTTTCTGGTAGGTACAGGCCATTCCCACTGCCTGCAGCTTTGGTTTCCAAATCGAATGAATCTTTCTTTATCACCAGCAATCCTGACCCTAATCAGAGAGAACCTTTGACCTCAAAGGCCCACCCACATGCCAGCAGAGAGAAGATCCCATGAAGAATATGCCACCTGCACACTCCTCTCTTCACTCCCGTTCCATCCTCCAACCGAAAGAAGACAATACAGCTGAGTGATTAAATAAGACATTGAGACAAAGATAGGATTATCGGAAAGAGTACAAGGAAAAGGCTAAGAAAAATATTTTGCTATATAACTAATCCCCACTGACATCAATTAACTTTGCACTTGGAATGAGGAAGCCAGATAAAAGAAGTTCATTAAAACAAAGGAAAGAAGTATAAGGAAACTGTATTTCCAAGGAACTGGGCCTGAGTACATCGTCATTCCTCAGTTAATAGGAAACTAGTTTTGTAAAGATCAATGGAGGTGCCAAGACACAGTTTAACAAGAAAACTAATGCTAGTAAAGTAAAAGAAAAGTGAAATATTTATTCTTCAAATGCTTTGAAATGACATTAGGCCTTAAAATATTTATTCAAGGCAGTTTAACATCCCCATACCTGTTTGAGTAAAGAAGATTTAACTAACATGTTTTGGATTACCTACTGCATGTCAGATATGTTTTCTGTCTCAGTAGTGATATATATAAAGATATAAATATGTCCACATATGGCTCCATCTTCACACCATGCATAACTTAGTTTGATCTTCTCAGTAAGTAGCTTGGAATCACACCGCTCGTGCAGAAACAAGTCCACATGATACCTCATTTCCGAGGGTGGAGTGCTACAATTTAACAATGACTGCCCCATTGTGAAGCTCAGATGGGGATCAAAACAGAATGCCATGGTAACCTAGAAGTCTGGTTTACAAGAATTATTGCCCTCTCAGTGAACTAGGTGGTCTGTGAACTATTGTTTTCTTCCAAGTCAACTACAATATAATTATGAGATGCAAAGAAGTCTCCTTATATCAGGAAAGTTATTAAATAAACAAAAATCACAATGCAGAACATAGAAATAAGCTTGATCACATACTTCTTTATTAGAAAAAACTAGTAAGCAGTGTGGGCTAATAGTATTAAAAAACAATATGTGTCCTTGGACTTAGGTGAACACTGACATTGTATTATCCTTGTCTAAATATTCTTTTCATTGTTTGTCTGTTCTGTATTATCTGGTAGGTAAGAAAGAGAATAGAATTTCATGACCCTTTAACAAAAACCCCTTCTCTCTCCACTGCCAAGCGTTGGGTAGAAGCCCCCAACACAGACTGTCCTGTAATGCCACTCTCCAGTCTTCACTTTCGTCTCATGACAGCGAATGCAACACTTTCTTGCACTTCAGTGGGAAGAAAGTAAAATTCCAAGGAAACTATGATTTTATTTTGCAACCAAATCCAAAGTCCAAATGATTGAGGCTCTTTTTTCAAAGCTACCATGCTGGGTCCTAAAAGAGTGAACTCCCACTATAGGTCATGAGGAACCACACACAGCTCATCATTTTAAGGCTGAGAGAAGACTCATATGTAACGTCTGACTGTAAGTACATGAAGAAAACTGCCATTTGCCCAGACAGCATGGCTCAGTGGTTGAGCGTCAACCTATGAACTAGAAGGTCATGGTTCAATTCCTGGTCAGGGCACATGCTGGGGT